AGGCTTGATCAAAGTCTTCAGTTCTTCTTGGACTTAACATTAACAACCTTTTTCAGCCTTTGCCCTGGTGGCTGGCTGTGATCTCATTGTCTTCCTGTACATAATAATTCTCCTTGCTCTTCCCTTCAGGATCCTTCCTTTTCTTTTTATGAGTTCAGCAGGAAAAACAACTTGGATCTGAATTTCCCCTTAATAGCATTTTATTTATTTATTTATTTATTTATTTATTTATTGCTGGCCAACTTTTGCTGGTCACCTGCTACTTTTGGAAACCCCACATTTTTGATCCAAGTTTACATTCAATGCATGTTTGTCTGTATCTTGGATCTACAAAAGATTTTCTTTTGGCTTTGAACATGAGCTATTTTCCTTCGATATTACAATGCAAAATACCATTCCAAAAGCAGATCTGATTTGCTCCAAACCCTGCTATTCTATGGAAATTCAATAAATCATCAACTGAGGGGGCACTGCAGAAGCCATCCTCCCCTCTTCCTTTATTTGGTGCTCATAATCCAGCATGTCCAGGGATGGGGGCTCAACCTCCTCCTTCTCCTAAATTCCAGGATTAACACTGGGGGAGTCATAAAAGGAGGGCTCCTTTTGCCCAGCTGAAGGGCAGCCCAGCCCATTCCCATCTCCAGGGCATTTGTAAGCTGAAGATCCCCAGGGAGGCTTTTGAACTCCCTTTCAACAAAAGTCAGTCTCCAAACCAAATAGAATCTTCTTGTAAAGTCAGCAAAAGGGCTACTTTCACAGCATTATAAAGGATTCGTCCTCCCGTAGCTTGGATCTCTTTTGGCATTCCTCCTACTGGCTTCTCCAGAACTTAAGCAAATGGGAAGGGACGTGTGCAAGGCAAAGAATGAAAGGAACATGACGTGTGACATCCTGAAAAAGATCTGTTACCAGTAATGATAGGGCTGCTAGACAGGAGGCAGGGATCATTGCAGCCACAGCCTTCTTACAGTCTTAAAAGTTATAATCAAACTCTAAACAGAAAGGTACATCATCCAAGCCACCCAATGTCCCCAGCCAACGAGTGCCTGGAAACCACACTCCCCATCACACTGTCCTAACATGGGACACACTGTGCCACTAGGAAGAGAATGCTGTGATTCTGATGGCATTCTTTTTTTTTTTTTTAATTATTACTATTATTATTATTTTGTTTTGTTTTTGCAGTGCTAGGGATGGAACCCAGGACCTCACACCTGCTAGGCAAGCACCCTACTGAGCTACACCTAGCCCTGGATGCCGTTCTTGACGAAGGTCTCCAATAAGGAAATGGCAGGAATGACCTTTTATGGGCTGTAGAAGTAGACAGATGCTATCTCGATAATTATCCAGTTAGTAAAATGAGGCTCCAGTTCTATAATATGTACACGAATGTGCATATCTCCACCCTCACAATTCTTCTAGAACGTGAAGAACCCACATACTGTACACATCCTATTCTGGACTCAACCTCTACAAAACTAAAATGTTGGTTGCACGTTGATTTAACATTTAATTAAGTGTTTGCCTTCTTAGAGCTTAAAGGGCTTGTTGGCAGATGTTTTGGGTGGACTAAGATTCTTGATATATTAAAAAAAAAAGACAAGTTAAAACCAATGTTTATCTTTGTCTTTCAGTAAATTTCTCTTTAGCCTATATGACTATTTAAAAAGTTGTCAATATTTTTAGCTCACAGAAGGCAGGGTCATGCCTGACGCCAGTTTGTGTCCAACCTGTGCACAACTTGGGAAGAGTGGCTCAAGCTCAAATGTGGTTGAAGAAGCCTCTCAGGGTGCCTGGTATCAATCTAAAATAACTGTGCCTCTGGTGTTTTGAGTGTGGAGTGAATAGCTATCCTCACTGGGGTGTGCCATCTTCCTTAGGGGCTCTTCCTCACAACAAATACTCTAATGAATACGCTGACTAAATTTTATTTCTTATTTTAGAGATCATCTGTTTAAAAACTTATTCACACTTTATATCCTTAGGTGCCTCTAATAGGCCCCAGTAGGCTTTTGGTTAAATAAACAAATCGTTAGACTGAGAAACTATGTCAAAACGGGGTACAATTAGCAGATTATTAATAAATCGAGTCATTTAGGAATTTTAGGAAAGATGCTCCAGGGTAAAATAAACTTAAAATATTCTCGCCTAAGAAGCACCCCCAGCCATTACCCCCAAACAGTGAATTCCTTCTCTATTTCAGATCTTCCTGGGCTCCACAGGAAGTTGGGTTAATCACCTGTTATGCTTTATCTGGGGTTAAGAGGGAAGACTATCACCTGATTAATATTGGGGACTTTTCCTCCCCCTGTCTGCAGGGAGGAAAGAAGGCATATTTGTTGAGGACCCTCAAAAGCTAGTAGTGGGGCTGGAGTTATGGCTCAGAGGTAGTACACTTGCCTAGTACATGTGAGTTCAAGCCTCGATACCACATAAAAATAAATAAATAAAATAAAGGTATTGTGTCCATTTACAACTAAAAAATATATTAAAAAAAATAAAACTACTTGTGGATCTCCTGCACACCCCAGTGAGCACCAGGCACCCAGAAAAGAGAGAAACTGAGGGAAGGCCCATGACAGGCTCATCCTCTTGGTGGGTCATTGAGCACCTTTCATGAGGCAGGCCCTGTTCTGCACACATTGGGAAGACCTGGGCCCTCCCTGCAGGGGTAGAATAAACAAGGAATAAGCAATTACAATCAGATTTCATATTTGGAATAAACTACTTCTACATACACCTAGAGGCTCTGTATGATGCACCCTGCTTCTCTCTGTGATCTCAGGTTCTGCCACTCTGCCACTGGCTCACTTGGCACAGGCCACACTGGCCGTCTTGCTGTCACCTTGCTCCTGACTCAGGGCCTTTGCATGAGGGCACTCTTTTCCAAGTCTCTGAGGCTTCCTTTACCTCACAACTAAAATTGTACCCCTCCCACTGCCCTCCCCTATTCTCATGCTGTTTGTTTTATTTTATTTTTTTAATGTAGTGGGACATAATATCATTATTGTATTTATTTATTTTTATGTGGTGCTGAGGATCAATCCCAGTGTTTCACATGTGCTAGGCAAGCACTCTACCACTGAGCCACACACCCAGTCCCCTCACTTGTTTTCTTAACAGGACTTTCCAGGATTTGAAATTAAACCAGGTGTTGACTGTCCCCACCAGAACATAAGAACCACGAAGGCAGGGTCCTTGTCTGAGCTGCTTATTGTAGTTTCTCTAGTACAATACCTGGCATAAATAAAGATTTGTTGATAAATAAGCATGATAAGAGAGTCCAGGGTGTTCAGAGAACCCACTCTGGAGAGATTAGGACAGGCTTCCAGAGAACTTGACATTTGTGGAGCTTTGGGAAGAAGAGAGCAACAGAGGAGGAGAGGCAGGGCACAAAGTGGCCTCAGAAAATGCCACAGACTCTGGATGATTGCAAAACCTTGGCAAAAGGATAAAGAGGTGAGAAAGAGTGCCCACGCCTGGCGTTCAGCATGACATCTGCTGAACTCTCAGATGGAGCTTGTCTCCTGCAGAGCTGCCCCCAGAACTGGCTCCTCTCTGAGGAAAGGCAACTGGAGGGAGAAGCCCTGCTGAATGGCGCCATCTTGTGACCACAGACCTTGGGATGAGGCACAGGAGTCCATGGCTTTAGGTCACAACCTCAGCACCTCCCTTCTCTGATTCATTCCTCTCTTTTCCAGAAAATACTGTAGCAAGCCCACCTTTTGGTAAAATCACTCCCCAGAATATTTTTATCTTGTTTAAAAGTTGGGACATTTGTCATAGCAGCACATAATTAGCACTTCCTGTGTTCTAGAGACACTAAATGTATTCATTTGTTTAATCCTCACGGTACCATGAGTGACCACGTGAATCCCCATTTCACAGAAGAGGAAAATGAGGCCTGGCAGGCTCACACCCAGGCGTCAGGGCTAGTAAGTGGTGAGCAGGAGTCACATCAGGCAGTCAGTGCCACATCCATACAACCCCCCACTAATGGGTGCCATAATGGGGGTGACAGAGTGAGGCCTAGGCAGCTACAGGAGACACTGGAGCAGCAGTCAAGGCAGTAGGAAACAAGGGCCTCCACCTGTCCCCAGAGGACCTGGAGCCAAAGGAACTGCCAAGAAAACAAGAAATCCTTCACAGCTGAGGATGTTGCAGGACGCAGACCCAAGCCCCCTGAGTGCCTTGGGGCACAGTGCCAGCGGTGTCACTGTGCCAGGTTTGCCCTGTCCAACCCTGTGCAGAGACAGCCTGAAGGCTGCTGGGCATGAGCACGAGGCTGTGTCTCAGCCTCGATCACCATTTATGGTATCTGAGCCTCTGTCTGGCCTTGACAGGCCTGTAAATCCCCCACCAGAGGGTTCTCACTCACGCAAGCTGTGCTTAGAACAAGGGGACTGGCGGAGTCCTTGCTGAGACCTCTCTTCCTACTTTAAAACACATGTGGATGGGCGATCATTCGCTCCCCACCCCATTCTCCCCCCAAGACCCAGGAGTCAGAAGAATAGCCCCCAAAGAGTTCCTGACCCCTCATCCGGAGACCCCACCTCTCTATACCCATAGCTCAGCTGCGTCTTTCTAATCCAATCTAAACACAGACAACCCAGGACAGGCCCTGGATTAGCTGGTGGTTGGCTGAGGCTGGTGAGTAGAGTCTCAGTAGGGAGAAGGCAGAGCTGCCTGGCCCATTGTGTGCTGTCCTCTGGTCCTTTATAGACTTGGGATGTGCCACACGGACCTCTGAGAAAAAGCAGCTGGTGGGAGGGAAGAGCTGTTCCCCTGGCCCCTGGAGACCAGGCTCTGAGCCATTCTTGCTCCCTCAGAAATCTCATGCCACAATCTCCCAAGGCCCCTGTGAGCCATGAAATTAGAACTATGAGGATAACTGGGAGAAATGTGTCCACCAGGGTTTTGGCTGGGAAACTCCCAGGGCCCGCGGCAGCTCTGACCCACGTGGAGAGGGCTTCCTGGAAGGAAGGGGCAGGCCAGTTCACCAGTGATTCTGTGCCGAAGCATTTCTTCAGAGAAATCAGGTCCACTCCGGGCGGAGAGCCCCACAGAGTCAGCATCAGCCACATTCTCCATGGTTGTGGGTTCCTTTGTCCCTAAGGGATGGACAGTGCTGCTGTGGGATAGGGGAAGGACCCACCAAAAAAGGGCCTGAATAGAATAGCCTGGGCTTCATGTCTCAGGACCTGGGCTCAGAAGGCCAGCTTTACTTGCCAGCATGCTGCACTTGGCAGAGTGACCCTGGCTTCATGAGACAGACCTCCAGACTCTTCTGTGTAAAACAGATAGCACCCCAGCCCCAGAGCCACCAGTCTTAGTGAGTGACAGAGGTGAAATAGTAGGCTACAAACATTTATTTTCCCCCTTTTTCCTTTTCTGTGAAACCATCTCCTGCAGCCTCACAGCTCTCTGCTCACATTATAGGGGGCTCTCCTGAGAGGCCTGAGCTCTTGGGGACAAAGGAGGAGGCATAGTCCCCTGCTAGCCTGATAGGGAAGACACACTCATCCAGCCCAAGCACCCGGAGGACCCAGTTATGCTCAGGCACTGGGGTCACAGGCCCCAGGTGAGAGAGGAAATTGGCTTACCTGAAGGCCCTGGACTCAAGAAGCACCTGCCCGGGAACTGTCACCATGCCTGATTCCACAGCCCAGACAGCTCAGTCTTGAGTCTATGGCTCCCTGTGATTCCTGGGGACTAAGTGCTTGCCCAATCAATGAATGACTGTGATAATCAGATTACTGGACACAGGCTGGTGACGCATAAAAACAAGTCTGGGGTGCTGAGGAGGAGCAGAAGCAGAAGGAGAAGGGGACAACCTGCAACCCTCTAGAGGCCTCAATACCCACAATCTGTTACTTAGTGTCCCCAGGACACAGTGGGTCATTTGTAAGACCCCTACGTTCTCGGGGGATTTGGGGTACTCCTCCTAAGCTTTCTTGGAGAGTGGGTGGTTCTCCTCTTACCAGATCCGGAGCTTCCGGAGCCAGGGGAGCCCCTGTCTCTTTCCCCTGCATTTCCCCTGGCTCTGACGGGGTGAATGGGCAGGAGATTGGCTCCTCCCACTGGCACACCCCAGTCACATGAGTCCCTGGAGCCCATCTCCTCCACCTGCCTGACTTCAGGTTTAGAGCTGTCGCTTGAATCCCTCCTCTGAGCCTAGGAGGTTCTGGCAGCCTGTCCTTTGCCGTAGCCACTGCTGATCAGGAGTGGTGTGCAGCAATGTCATCTGTACCTCTGCTCCCTGATGTGGGCCAGTAATATTATTTTCTACAAAAGTGTCCTTCCTCCAGAGCAGACATGTCTGCAGGAAAGGTGTCTGTAGGCTCCTACCATGGACGGTGACCTTGGCACTGCAAGACACTTGTCCTAAGGAGTTTTCGGCCAGACAGGTGTAGGTGCCATTGTCCTCTGGCAGGGCATCCAGGACGTTGAGCTCAGCCACGCCGGCCTTGCAGGTGGAGTGAGCATACTGGATGGGCTGCCCTGTGGAGGGAAGCATAGGAAGCTCAGACCAGGGAGCACCTGTCCTCAGCAGGGCTGCTGCTGTCATGACACTGGGGCTGGCCCAGCCCATGGAGGGCAAGCCTGGACTTGGAAAGACAGGGGAAAGAGATTCTGGAGGAATTAGGAGGGCAGAAGGGAAAGGGACACAGTTCTGGGCATTCTGTGCTAAGTTAATAGTCCCCATTCCATACTGTCCACTTCACAGCATTCTGCGCCTGGAAGGGATCTTACAGGGTCATTTGGCCCATAGCCCAGGCTCAGAGCAGACCTTGCCTAGACAGAGCACATGGCTCCCAGTTCCTTTTAGATGTCTCTAGAAATAATGACTGCATTTCCCACTGCTGATATTTATCAGAAAGCAATTCTGTATCCCCACCCTAATGTAGCAATTAGGTTCATTTCTTCTGTGCAATTAGGTGCATTTTAGCATTTATGGAAAGATAAATATGGGGAACTAAAACCTTCTGTGAGAAGCCCTTTATTCATGTCACTTTACACAAAGTCCTGTGTGGAGACAGGAGTGTGTGCAATGAACTTCAGTAGTTTCCTTAATACTGTATGTTCCTGGGACTTTATCATTTCAGGATATAACCTTTAATTTCCAGGGAAAAAACACAACACATCTCATTACTGAAGATTCTGGACTTAGAGCAGGAATGTGTCCATCTGCCATATAGGAAGCAACTGTCAGTTCCTTTCCTTGCCAGGCCTCAGAGTCTTGGTTTACACTTCATAAAATTGGGGGTGGCTGCAGGGGGTGGGAGAAAGTACAGAAAGAAATGCTTTCCCTGTAATGCAATGTTTTCTTCTTGCACATAGCAACACTTCATGTCTCCATGATGGTTTGGCAAAGAGACTGCCCAGCCTGCCACAGGGCTGGAGGAAAGAGAATCTTCCCAACCCTCATATGAGTGGGGCTGGTAGGAAAGGCAGGGGCTGGGACCCTGCCACTGAGTGGATTAAACACTGCTCTTTGCTTTATTATTTATTTTTTATTTATTTTTTTATTTTTTGGTGTTAATGACACCCTCCAAAACCTCTTCCTTGAGATTACTAACACTTTCCTTACTGCAGTTAAGGAAAGCCTCCGCTGTCCAAATGTGCAGACAAGCATTGTAAGAGCTCTCTTTTTACTTCAGCAAACCTATTTTGGTCCCACAAACAGGGAGCTGTTAGCTTAGGGAGTCAGAATGGGGAGTCATGAAACTCCACTTGGGGGGAGTTGGACAGGAAGTAGTTCACAGTCAAGAGACCCAGAATAGCAAAAACAATGCTAAGCAAGAAGTGTGAATCAGGCGGTATAGCGATACCAGACTTCAAACTATACTACAGAGCAATAGTAACAAAAACAGCATGGTACTGGTACCAAAACAGGCGGGTGGACCAATGGTACAGAATAGAGGACACAGAAACCAATCCACAAAACTACAACTATCTTATATTTGATAAAGGGGCTAAAAGCATGCAATGGAGGAAGGATAGCATCTTCAACAAATGGTGCTGGGAAAACTGGAAATCCATATGCAACAAAATGAAACTGAATCCCTTTCTCTCGCCATGCACAAAAGTGAATTCAAAATGGATCAAGGAGCTTGATATCAAATCAGAGACGCGCCGTCTGATAGAAGAAAAAGTTGGCTACGATCTACATTCGGTGGGGTCGGGCTCCAAATTCCTCGATAGGACACCCATAGCACAAAAGTTAATAACTAGAATCAACAAATGGGACTTACTCAAACTAAAAAGTTTTTTCTCAGCAAAAGAAACAATAAGAGAGGTAAATAGGGAGCCTACATCCTGGGAACAAATCTTTACTCCTCACACTTCAGATAGAGCCCTAATATCCAGAGTATACAAAGAACTCAAAAAATTAGACAATAAGAGAACAAACAACCCAATCAACAAATGGGCCAAGGACCTGAACAGACACTTCTCAGAGGAGGACATACAGTCAATCAACAAGTACATGAAAAAATGCTCAACATCTCTAGCTGTCAGAGAAATGCAAATCAAAACCACCCTAAGATACCATCTCACTCCAGTAAGATTGGCAGCCATTAGGAAGTCAAACAACAACAAGTGCTGGCGAGGATGTGGGGAAAAGGGTACACTTGTACATTGCTGGTGGGACTGCAGATTGGTGCAGCCAATTTGGAAAGCAGTATGGAGATTTCTTGAAAAGCTGGGAATGGAGCCACCATTTGACCCAGCTATTCCCCTTCTTGGTCTATTCCCTAAAGACCTAAAAAGAGCATGCTACAGGGACACTGCTACATTGATGTTCATAGCAGCATAGTTCACAATAGCAAGACTGTGGAACCAACCTAGATGCCCTTCAATAGACGAATGGATAAAAAAAATATGGCATTTATACACAATGGAGTATTACTCTGCATTAAAAAATGACAAAATCATAGAATTTACAGGGAAATGGATGGCATTAGAGCAGATTATGCTAAGTGAAGCTAGCCAATCCCTAAAAAACAAATGCCAAATGTCTTCTTTGATATAAGGAAAGTAACTAAGAACAGAGTAGGGACGAAGAACAGGAGAAGAAGATTAACATTTAACAGGGATGAGAGGTGGGAGGGAAAGGGAGAGAGAAGGTAAATTGCACGGTAATGGAAGGAGACCCTCAGGGTTATACAGTGGAGGGGGTAGAGAGAGAGGAGGGGAGGGGAGGGGAGAGGTGGGGAGGGGGGAGGGTGGATGATGGGAAAGGCAGTGGAGCACAACAGACACTAGTATGGCAATTTGTAAATCAATGGATGTGTAACTGATGTGAATCTGCAATCTGTGTATGGGGTGAAGGTGGGAGTTCATAACCCACTTGAATCAAAGTGTGGAATATGATATGTCAAGAAATTTGTAATGTTTTGAACAACCCACAATAAAAAATTAAAAAAAAAAAAAAAAAAAAGAAACCCAACTTAAGCACAATCTCCCCCTAGTGGTAAGAGTGTGGAAATACCAAGATTCACTAAATTCATTCCTGAGAGGTGTAAACCAGGGGTTCCATAAATTACAGTCCATGGGCCAAATCTGACCGGTGGCCTATTTTGTACAGCCTGTAAATTAAGAATAGCTTTTACATATTTTTAATGGTTGAAAAAAATGAAAGAAAAATTCCTCTCATGAAAATGACCTGAAATTCCCATTTCATTGTCCATAAAGTTACAATGCAACACAGCCACACTCATACAGCATCTATACTGTTTTTATGCTGCAACAGCAGAGTCTAGTGCTCATACAGGTTGTATGGCTCAAAAAGCTGAAAATACTTACTATCTGGTCCTTGAGATAATATGTTTATTGACCCTTGTTCTAGACTCTGAACCAGGCAGAAGTTTAGTCCTTATGTCCATATTCTGTTCTAGCCTCAAGGAGGCTGTGTCCTTCCAGTCAGAGGGCCCCACAGGATTTCTGTCTTTAGGTGAGGTGTGGGAGGAGGGATAGCAGACCTTAGTTCTCTTATCTGACCAAGCTGACTTCATATGGGAAGAATACATGGCACTTTCTCAAAGATCCTTTCTAGCAAAGCATGAGCAAACTCTACCAACATGGAAGGTTCCCAGGCCATGTGTCATGACATAGACACAATTGGGTGCACAGGGGATGGGTGTTGCCTCTTAAGGAGCCTATTTTACCAAAGGCAAGAGCTAGTAGAGACCCCAAACCTTCTGTTTCCCCCAGATTCCCGTAACTAAAGGAGTCAGTATTCAGAAGTGTAAAGTTGGGGTGTTTCAGGCCTCCTGACCACTCTGTGGTGGGGAAGGCCAATGCCCGTGCCTCCTGACTCTCTGTATCTCCCCAAAGCAGGCCCTGCCCAGTCTCACTCATTTAATGGATTTGTTCTCAGTTATAAAATCAGAGTTCTTCCATACCTTTGAAATTAGAAGGCCTTTTTAAAAACAAAAGGATGATAATATACAGTGATTAATTTTTTCAAAGGACCTTACTTGAAAAAAAAATTGGCATGTGTCTATAGAACTAAAATTAACATTAGAAAGAAATACTGGGGGTGGGGTTGTGGCTCAGTGGTAGCACACCTGCCTAGCATGTGTAAGACACTGGGTTCGATTCTCAGTACCACATAGAAATACATAAAATAAAGGTCCATTGACAACTGAAAAAATATTTTTAAAAAACCCACCAGCCACTAAATAAAAGGCAAGCGCCCACAACAACTTCTGGTGTGGCTACTAGTTTATTCATTTATTGTTTGTATATTGACTCAACAAATATTTACCAAGGAACTCTGATAGGTCTGACTGTAGGGAAAGAAATAAAATTGTGTGTGCACCCATGTGCCAGGCACCTCATTAACCACTTCACATACATGGACTCCTTTAGTTTCATAACCACCCCCTCCAAGGACAATGGCATTGTTCCCACTGTGCTAATGAGGAACTCAGGCTCTGGCAGGGGAGAAACTTGCTCAGTCACTGGGTACCAGACTCACTTTCTGAGTTCTCTCCATACCCTGGGCTTCCAGGGGGCAAATGGTGTAGAGGGAGAACTGAGAATTCAAGGCAGGGCTCCAGGGCTCATGGGGCTGGGGACGGGAGACTCACCATTGAGCAGCCAAGTGATCTGGGGCACTGGGTTCCCCTGTACGGAGCACTGCAGCACAAAATCCTGGCCCTCGACAACAGTGCAGTCCTTTAAGACACTGGAGAATGAGGGGGCCTCCCCCATTGTAACCAACCCTGGGGGGGAAAAGAATAGACAGAACATCTCAGATCACAGTTTGCCCACTCTTGTGACTGATCATGGGCACCCCAAGTCTCACTGGCAGATGCCATGCTGCCCTGGACATTGGGCATGCTTGGAATATTGGCTATATCCTGTCTACCTTCACACCTTGGAAACAGCAGCACCAGACACCCGATTCCCAAGCAGGGGGATGGCCAGGGGTTTTTCACAGGCACAAAGCACCTTAGATCTGGGGTGCTCAGGACCTGGCCCTGCCTGCTCTCTCTCCTCTGACTCAGGCAGCTCCTGTCTGTCTTGACCTTTGTTGTCCTGGGGACATATTCTCCTAATGTCCTATAGTGATTACAAAGTCTTGATAGATTTTTACTTGTAGAGACCAGACGCCTACAGTGAAGCTATTTCAATTTTAAATTATGATTACTATTTTTTTCCAATTCCAGGAATGAATCAAATGACAAAGACTGACATGTGTTTTAGTTTTCCAAGTGTGGTCTGAACAAGGGTTCAGAACTGCTGGGACCTGGAAATATGCATTGATTCTTATGTACATTCTATTTTTGGAGAACCTCTAAGCTGAACTTTCCAGAAGGCTTCTATATCAATGAACTGGGAAACACTTGATGGTTTGGGGCCTTTAATTAAGAAAAGTAGGAACAGATCATTTACTTTATACCAATTAGAACATGGTGCAATGGGTCAAGATGGCTGAGGGGTGAGAAGACATATCCCTGGTGCTTTTCAGCAGTGACTGTTCAATGCGGAGATGAGGGGAAAGCCATACTACATCACAGCAGATTGTGGACAAGAAAACAAGTAATAGAGAGCCTACTATGTGCCAGGCACTCTTCTAGATGTGACTGTGAAGATACAGCCAAGGCTGCCATCTCTAGCTCACATTAGAGGTGCAGTTCATCATTTCCCATAGTCAAGTCCAAGGTGGGGCAAGTTTCAGAGCCGGCTCTCCGACTCTACAGCCACACCTTGTCCTCTAGACCCTAAGGGAAAGTTAGGCAGTGGAAGAGCAGCGACAAGACAGAATGACAGTGCCTCTGAGCAGGCTCAGCACAGAGGAAGGGACAGACAGACAACCCAAGAGGTGTAGGGAGGCCCCATCTCTACCCTTCCCTAGTCAGTGTCAAATTCCCTCACTTGAGGAATGTCTCAAGAGTCATCAAAAAGGCGATGGGCTTTGGTGCCAGGACAACTAGGGTTAGAATATGCCATCTTCTGTAAGGCATTTGACCCTGGTCAAGTCATTTAACCTCACTGCAGTTGAGTACCCTCAAAATGGGTGTAACTATAATTTTCTCTTAAGACTGTTGGACTAATTAAATGAAATAACCCAAGTACAGCATTAGCACAAAGCCTGGCCCACAGAGCATCCTCAGTGGGTATTTATTACTACCATCAAATGGAAGCTGTGCACAGAAACTCCACTACTTGGAGCAAGTGTAGTTTGAGGGTGAAAGAGTGTTTGAGGTCGTCAAGCAGAGCGAAGGGTTCTTTTCTTTTCTGTACAGGGAAGACAAAGGGCATGCTTGGAGGGAGAAAAGAGAGGCAAAAGGGAGGCAGTGGAAATTGTGGTTAAGTAAGACCTTCATAGAGGGAAGGGACAGGAAGAGGTCTGGTTGGGGAAACAGCTTTCCTGCAGTGAGAGGAAGGAAGGAAGGAAGGAAAGGAGGAGGGGGAAGGAGGGAGGGAGAAAGGGTGTTGGTAGTAGATGCTAACAGAGCACATGTCACATGACCTGCATCTTGGTAAACTGTCAAGATGACCAGGCCTTGTGGAGGCTGGAGAAGTTGTGACTGTGAAGATACAGCCAAGGCTGCCATCTCTAGCTCACATTAGAGGTGCAGTTCATCATTTCCCATAGTCAAGTCCAAGGTGGGGCAAGTTTCAGAGCCGGCTCTCCGACTCTACAGCCACACCTTGTCCTCTAGACCCTAAGGGAAAGTTAGGCAGTGGAAGAGCAGCGACAAGACAGAATGACAGTGCCTCTGAGCAGGCTCAGCACAGAGGAAGGGACAGACAGACAACCCAAGAGGTGTAGGGGTCTGTTCTTACATTATTCATGTTTGAGAAATTTGCAATATTCATATTGATACTTATTTTTTTTTTTACAATACACCGAAGTTTATTGATAAGCTGGTTATGACACAAGAATATATACCTGAAAAACCTGGTCTCTTAACAATATAAATTATTACATATGACTCTAGTCTCGAAATGAAGGTCAGTAGAGGGGGTAGAGAGAGAAGAGGGGAGGGGAGGGGAGGGGAGGGGGGATAGTAGAGGATAGGAAAGGTAGCAGAACACGACAGTCACTAGTATGGCAATATGTAAATCAATGGATGTGTAATTGATGTGATTCTGCAATCTGTATATGGGCTAAAAATGGGAGTTCATAACCCACTTGAAGCAAAGTGTGAAAGATGATATATCAAGAACTATGTAATGTTTTGAACAACCAACAATAAAAAAAGAGATAATAGAAAAAGAATATAAGTGCACATATTTACCTATAAAATATAGGTATATGTGTGTATAGATACATATGTATACATAAATGCACAGATCCCCCCCAAAAAAAAAAAGATTACTAAATGCACAACATAGTAACAAAAAGTTTATTAAGCCCACTTTCATATCTTCTAATCTGAATTTCCTATAGCTTGTTCCTCCTTCACGTCTCTCTTCCTTGTTTTGCATACACTTTCTTTGTTGAAAAGAATGGGCAATGGTTATTTGTCAATAGCCTGCAGCTTGCTGATTCTATCCTGTGGTATTGTTTAATCAGTTCTCAGTGGTATTCCAGGGGTCTGGGTCCCACAGTATACATTTATAGTTAAGGGGAGATTTTATAGAAAAATAAAGGGGTATTAGAATATTTATCATAGTTTTGTTTTGCTTTCTTTTACTTATAGTGCTAGGGATCGAACCAAGGGCCTCATCCATGCTAGGTAAGCACTCTACCCCCAATCCTATTTATCATAGTAAAAAATAGAAATAACTGATTTGAAAAATTCAACAATATTATATCTCCATTCATAAATCATGCTTGAAAGCATAAATAATTAAATAATATAGAAATAATAATAATAACAGAATATTAAATAATAAAGATGTTTGTTACATGAGCAAACTAGGATAGAAGATAGCATACTAATAGCACAAAGCTGATTTTGTTCAAAAAACAATAAATATTTATTTTGAAGTCATAAGATTATATGTGGTTTAAATGCCCCCAAATTAGCATCTATTACTTTAATAATCAGATATTATAATAAACATAAAAGATGTGGTATCCCACATCATCTCACATTTCCCTAAATCTGTACACTTAGTGAATACTTGGTGCTCTGAGGTCACGAATATTGAGTCATGGCACTACTTGGACAGCTGAGAAACCTAAAAGAGGTAGCACTCAGCTAGGCTGGGAGTGGGGCTGGGCATGCTTATTTTGAGGTGATCCTGATGTGCACCCTTGATTAAGAATCACTGTTGGGAAAAAACTTAAAATCAGCATACTGCAGTGATGCAGCCACGTCAATGTTTATAGCAGCTCAATTCACAATAACTAAACTATTGAACCAGGGTAGGTGCCCTTCAACAGATGAATGGATAAAGAAAATTACACACACACACACACACACATACAATGGAATATTACTCAGCCTTACAGAAGAATGAAATTGTGACATTTGCCGGTAAATGGATGAAACTGGAGAATATTATGCTAAGAAAAGTAAGCCAATCCCAAAGAACCAAAGGCCAAATGTTTTCTCTGATATAAAGATGCTAATTCACAATAGGGGGAGCGAGGAGAAAGGAGGTATTTTGGACTAGACAGAGGGGACTAAAGACGGGGGAGGTGGTTTAAGGATAGAAATGATAGTAGAATGAGCTGGACATTATTACCCTATGTGCATGTATGATTTCATGACCCATGTAACTCTACAACTAGACAAATGAGAAGTTATACTCCATGTATGTATGATGTGTCAAAGTGCATTCTACGGTCATGTGTAACTAATTAGAACAAATAAAAAATTTATTAAAAATAAAAAGAATCACTGATGGAGAGCAATGTATTTGGCCTTAGCACGTGGGTGGTGCTGTTTACACTCAGGCCTGGGTGTAGGGCTGTAGGAGATGAACCATCTGCAACTGTGAAGCACCCATGAATTGTCCTCCTGCTGAGGATCCAGGGGGACCTGGAGGAATGTACTCACTTTTCACTAGAAGGGTCCAGCTGCAGGACACCTGGCCTTGGCTATTGGAGGCTGTGCAGCTGTACTTCCCACTGTCCTTGGTCTGAGCTCTCAGCAGGCAGAGGTAATGGGACCCGTTATCTTCATAAATCTCAATGGTGCCTTCTTGTCTGTTTACTGGAACGTCTTCCAGGAACCAGGTGACTTCAGGCTTTGGGATCCCTGAAACTACAGGGCCAGGTGAAGAACATGAGCCTCCCGCAAAAACACACTGTGGGGCAGGGTGAGGAAAGCCTGACTCCAAGGGAAGAGCTTAGACTGGGATGGTGGGATGGCCTTCCCACTTCTGAGCCTGTTTCCTTACTCCTAACTTTAGGTTCCATAAGGTTCCAACGTCTTGAGATAGTCAGGGTCCTTGTGGAAAAGAAATGCAGGGGTGATGGGCCAGGTCTCCTGGTCAGCCAAAGCCAGGAAGGAAGGAAAGAGGAGACCTACTGTTTATTGTTTTGATGAGGAGGAGAAGAGTTTTGTTCATCCAGAGTAGTCAGAATTAGGGCATAGGGCCTATACTCTATGTTGCAAGCAACAATAGACCACCATTGGCTATCTCTCTAAAATAAAGGATGTTTGTAAACTCAGTCCTTCCTGAAGGGAAGACCTCTGGCTTCCTGGGGCACCTAGTCCAAGGGGATGGGTGGATATAGAAGGTACAGACCAGCTGCATACTGAAGGACGGAACTGGCCACCAAGGGACTACATTTGGGGACCAGTAACCTTAATCAGCTCTACTCACCCTCACACCTAAATTTGACTGCTTGGTCTTCACTGACTTCCTGGCTTTGGGGCTCACTCTCAAACTTGGGCCATGCTGAATGGCTCTGGCTCTCCATGGGGATTTTCCTGGTAGCAACCTTGCTCACAACTTCTGGGCTTCCCAGGTCCGACAGTCCTGTAGAAAGGGTGGCTGGCTGGGGAACAGATGGACTCATCTCTTCCCTAGGAGACGGGGTTCCCATGATTGGTGCTCTTTGTTCCAGCTGGACTTTTGTGGCTTGCAGGGTGATGGTGCTGGAAGTCTTCTGCAGGACAGGGGTCTGTGGTAAATGGAAGGAACTAGAGAATATTATGAGGAGAAAGGAGGTATTTTGGACTAGACAGAGGGGACTAAAGAGAGGGGAGGGGGTATGGGGATTCTAGGTGAGACCCCCGTCAGCATCACCTTGGGCTCCTGCAGGGGCTGTGGCTGGCTGTTTGAGGTGTAGATGGGGGACTGTCCTCCCCGGGGGCTGGAGCAGTTATTACTTGCAGCTGCAGTCTCCAGGCTGTCGAGTTTCGGCCCCTTTGAGACTCCATTGGTCACCTCCTTCCTGACATCTGAACTGGGGACCTCTACTCTTCTCCCAAATGACCTGTGTAGTGGCAGTGGGGTTAGAAGTGGAGGGGGGAGCAGGAGGGACAGAATAATCATTTGGTTATCCACAAGCATCTCTCATCATAAGCACAGATTCCAGGATCACAAAAGCCTACCAATTAGGGGCAATTAAGAACAAAAACATTTCTTTGCAGTTTATTCACTTTGCCAAGACACAGCACCAGCAGCTATTCTTGACCCGTCCCTGTCCTGTGTCTCCATTCAGAGCCTATTTTATCTACATTTCTCTTCTCCCTGGTGCCCTGAGTTCAAACCACCCAGTCGGTTCTCCTTGTCCACATAGCCCTTCTCCAATCCAGTTCCACAGAGCAACTGTAGTCAATCTTTGAAAAACATTAATCGAATTGTGTCACCTGAAGCTCAAGGGTTTTCCAACAGCTTTCCACTCTATTAAGAATAAAACTGGGGGCCAGGGACACAGCTCAGTGTGTTTGCCTAGCAAGCACTGCCAAAAGAATAAAACTAAGCCTCATACAATTCCCCGAAGAGAGCACTGTCTTAGGACCCTCTCAAGACACTGTTTAGGCTGCAGCCACACAGGTGTTCTTTTGGGGGCCCCTTAGCCCACCTCTCACCTCAGAGTTTTCACACGTGTTAGACCCTCTGTTTGGAACATGTTCTTCCTGAACTTTTCTTCGCATGCTAATATTATACTTCATAGGTCTGAGCTAGAATATGAAGTTTTCAGAAAGGGCATTGCTGGCCCTGAAATCCAAATTAGTATTTCTCTGTCATTCTTCCTCCCAGAGGGACCACAGTTGTAATTAGGTATTTGTGAATGTCTGAAGCACTTCTCTATGGTAGACTGCACTCGTGGTCTAGCTCTGCACCTCACATACAGGACAGGAGGCAGCTCATGAGCACTGGCTGGGTGAGTGGGGGGATTCTCGCCTTCTTGAACATGGCTAACCTGGAAAGGTACCGGGAGGATACCAAGACAGAGGGTGGCATGGAGCTTTCAAGAGTCTCAAAACCAATGATAACCCTGATGTAGAACTGGATGGCATATTACAAAAGGAGAACAGAGCAAAACACAAACAAAAGAACACCCCACACAGTCAATTCTCCTCCCTGTACCACAACTTGAAAACTCAATGCATTTCTTGATGACATCATTCTTTTCTTGTGGGGCATTTCAAGATGGAAAATGTGACAATCACAAAGCTTAGACCTACCTATTGGTATTGTTCAAACCTGGAAGAAGAGGGAGAGGAGACAGAGAGTTAGTGGAATATTTTATAGACCAAGAAGAGAAAACAATAAGACCACATCTCTTTCCTTTATTACAGAGTTTCCATGTCCCAAGCACTTCCCAGTCACTCTGGCCTCACCCTGCCTCGCTGCTTCTGGCTTCCCTGGTGCTGAACTTTTTGAGTTGTCTGAGAAACTTCTAGTCCTGGAAAGCATAGAAGCTCCAGGGCCTGCACTCGCTGGGCTTTTTGACGGTGGCTGGTGCCCTGGGCCATGGAATCTGCTCCCTTGCATTAAACAGAAGGAAATAAAAATCAGTGCAGGGACAAACCAACCAACCAACCAACCAACAAAAATCCATCTAGAAAAATGTCAAACCCAAACACTTCTAACTTACCATGACCCTCAGGAACAGGCCCCCAAAAGTGTTTGGTTTTGACAAATACATACTTTAAAAAACACATGGAGAAAGTGAAATTTTATTCCTTTCTTCCAAGAAAAGGCATACAATATACTTACTTCCTGCCATGTTATTTTTAAACTTTTATCATAGAAAATTCCAGAATATACAATACTAGAGAGAAGGCTGTCACAAACCCTGAGAACCATCACAAGATTCAGGAAAAAGCAATATGTCCCCAGTCTCATCTCCCCCTTTTTGTTTTGTTTTGTTTGATTTTTTTTTTTTTTGAGTACTTCAAAACAAATCCCAGGCAGTGTATCACTTTATCATTAAGAACCTTAGCGGGGAGTGGCTTTTAAATTCAATGGCTAGTTTTGAATCCTGCAAGAGTTTTATACTTCACCACATAAAGCCAAATCCTGTTCCTTTCATAAGGCATTCAAACTTCCAGTTCAAACTGTGATATCCTCAAGTCCAATTCATCCACATCCTCCAGATTAGGTTTAATGAATAAATTAAAACTCAGTCAAGAGAAAAAATAAATAAATAAATAAATAAATTCAATGGTAGGTGAGTAAAGGGAGAGGAGCTAGAACCCTGTTCCAGATGACTGACAGCAGTTCTAGACCCAGAGCTTGTTGCGAAGTTACATTCTTTGGTCAGGACCAGAACTTCTTGTTTTAATGCTGTCCAATGGAATAGAAAATACCAGCATGGCCAGGCATGGTGTGCACACCTATAATCTCAGCGGCTTGGGAGGCTGAGGCAGGAGGATCTTGAGTTCAAAGCCAGCCTCAGCAACTTAGCAAGGCCCTAAGCAACTTAGAGAGACTGTCTCAAAATTTGAAAAATAAAATAGAATATGGGAGATCTTTCCATCTTCTAAGGTCTTCTTCAATGTCTTTCTTTAGTGTTCTGTAGTTGTCATTGTATGGGTCTTTCACCTCTTTGTTAGATTGATTCCCAAGGTTTTTTTTTTTTTTTTTTGAGGCTATTGTGAATGGGGTAGTTTTCCTAATTTCTCTTTCTGAGGGTTCATCACTGATGCATAGAAATGCATTTGATTTGTAGGTATTGATTTTATATCTGCTACTTTGTTGAATTCACTTATTAATTCTAGAAGTTTGGAAATTCCTTAGAAAACTTGGAATAGAACCACCATTTGACCCAGCTATCCCACTCCTCATCTATACCCATAGGACTTAAAATCAGCATACTATAGTGGTGCACCCACATCAATGTTCATATCAGCTCAATTCACAATAGCTAAACTGTGGAACCAACCTAGATGCCCTTCAACAATTGAATGGATAAAGAAATGGTGGTATATACACACAATGGAATATTACTCAGCATTAAAAGAGAATAAAATTATGGCATTTTCAGGTAAATGGATGGAGTTGAAGAATATCATGCTAAGTGAAGTAAGTGAATCCCAAAAACCAAAGGCTAAATGTTCTCTCTGGTAAGTGGATGCTGATCCATAATGGCGAGGGGCATGGGAAGAATGGAGGAACATTGGGCACAAGGGAGGGAGAGGAGGGGAGAGGGCATGGGGGCAGGAAAGATGGTGGAATGAGATGGACATCATTACCCTAGGTACATGTATGACTACACATGTGGTGCAACTCTGCATGGTATACAACCAGAGAAGTGAAATTTGTGCTCCATTTGTGTACAATGAATCGAAATGCATTCTGCTGTCATGTATAACTAATTAGAACAAATAAAAATAAAATAAAATAAAAGGACTGAGGATGTGGCTCAGTGGTTAAGCGCCCCTGAGTTCAATCCCTGGTATTAAAAAAAAGAAAGACAATGCCAGTGTGCACTGTACATACATCAAGGCTGTTTCATGAAACTTGTTTCGGTTACATACGTTTCTACGCATACATATGTTCTGGGTTGTGGTGTCCAACAAATTTCTTTCTGTGGAATGTAGCCAAAAAAGCAAAAGGGGCAAGGTGGCATAGTTTCTGAGAAAGGAGGGAGATAGAAAAGAGAAAAATCACCCAAGGGAAGAGGGAAAAAAGGGAGGAAGAAGGAAGCAGCCTTCCTGATCCTCAAGCCAGAGCCAACTTCCGTGACTAATGAAACTGGTGACCATTGGCTATCATGCCCAGTGAAGTGATGTCCACCCCTTCCCACCCACATTCTCTGGCTTCCCCAGGCTGGACCTGGAGGAACCAAGAGAACTGTAAGGAGGACGCATGTTCAGATCTCAAAGGAACAAGTGACAAGGGCTGATGGTTCTAGAAAGGAAGAGTGGGGATAAAATGGGATGCTAACATGTCCAGTCTGGTGGAAAGGAAAATGGGAATACTAAGGAGAAAGAGTTAAGTTGAGGGAACATCTGGTTTGAAGGACAAAGTAGATAACAAGTTAAGTTTTAGGCAGGGGTGATAGCAAGACGTTAGCAATGTCCACTCTTCTAATTGGCAATTAGAGGTACAAAAAAGGTGTCTGAGTGAGAAGGAAGAACTGAAGACACAGGGTGGGGCCATGTGTAGGGACACAAATTAAATGGGCAGCCAGCTCAGGGCATCTTCCTCTAGGGCCAGAACTGTACTGCAGGCCCATCTCCTTTTCTTCCTGTTAAAGACGCTGCCCCTGGGGATGTGTGGGTAAGTGTGTCACATGTTTACACATACAGATGTGCAATGAGCAACCATCCTAGGGTGGAGGGTGTTAAGACACCTGGAAGGGGTCCTCCTGCATAGTCCCGCACCTACCTGGGATGGAGAGCTCAGCTGACATGGAGGCCTTCCCTGACCCGTTCACCACCATGCACGTGTACACGCCCACATCATCCTGGGTGACCTCACGGATTTCCAGAACCTGCATCCCATTCTTCTCAGACATAGACACACGGGCACTTGGCTGCAGTGGGACGTTTCCCTGTGGATGGCAGAAGGGTGGCTTGGTCACAGAAGTCTGCTCACCTTTAGGCACTGTCCTCCCACCTCCTGTCAATCCTGTGGGACAGATACTGGGCGGCGCAGCCCTCTGCTCGGGGCTCTGTGAACATGCTCAGAGGGCATGACTTGAGGTTGTGTCTATGGTGTGGTGTTGGGTCCAGCTTGGAGAAGGCACTGGAAACTGTTTCAAAGGAGCCCTAGCTGGAGATAGGGAGCCCTATATTCCTTACTTCAGTGCTTCATTGCTTTCCTATTCCTTTTATGCTTTTCCCAGGGTGAGTGTGGAAGAATTAGGAAGTAGGCAAAAGGTGTCCTAACACCCACATTTATCCAGGAGTTTCAACTCCAGGAAACCTACTCTCCCTGGCCTTGACCCCACCTGTTCCTTTGTTCTTCACTGCCTGCCCCACTCCAATGCTGCTGTCCTGCCTCCACATCCCGCCCCCTGCTGGCCACTGCATTCCCTTCACCCAGGCCTGAATGATTATGAAGCACTTTCACATGGAGTCTCCACAACATTTTGAGTTAGGTGGTATTGTCCCCACCTCACAGATAAGGAAACAGTGTTCCAAGAGATCAAATGACTTGTCCAGTGCCACGTGCTTTGTGACACAGGGAGCTGTGACCTCAAGCCTATCATCCTAACTTCCTATTCCACCCTCGAGGTGTTCGGGTCCGTCTTGCTCAGAAATTTCATGATATTTCTTGAGCACAAGAATTAGAGCAACAGGAGAGAACACAAAGGGGGGCGAAACCATGCATCATCATCAAGCATACAAAGGAACCTTGTGAACCCCCTACGGATGGAACAGAAGGAACTGACTGAAGTGACAGACTCCTAGTAGTCCCAGGGTCTAACGCCGAGCTCTCAGGGCCACCTGGCCTGGGTCAGAGTCAGGAAAGATGAAATCTCACCTTGAGCCAGGTGACCTGTGGTTGTGGCCGGCCAGTGATCTTGCAAGAGAATCGCCCCATCTGTCCTTCTCTGGCCATTGCTCGGCCCAGCTTGGTAGCAAACTTTGGGGGACACTCACCCCAGATGCTAGGACAAGACCCTGCTGAGGCTGAATATCTTCCCCTGGGAAGAGATCACAAGAAAATCCAGTCCTACACAAGGCAGCAAGTTGATCCTCCTCCCTCCACCTGTTCCAAATAATTTAAGTTGTAATCAGAAACCATTCAAGGGTAGCCTACCCAACTCTAGACCTTAAACAATTTCTTCTGCCACTTCTGGAAGAATGTATGGCACCAAAACCTATTTCCTGTACGACTTGGGCTTGCAGCTACACTTCATTTCCTAGTCTCCCTTGCAGTTAGGGACACCTGAATTCAACTGAGCTCTGGCCAAAGTCCGGGTTTTGGCCAATGACCATGAGCAGAGGTGTTGTTGCAAATTCCAGGGCTGACTCATAGAAACCTCCCACAAGGTTCTCCACCTTCTTTCTTGCCCACACCACTGGCTAGATGCAGATTCCAGGAGATGGAGCAATAAAATGGAGGAAGCCTGGGCTGCTGGAAGAGAACATGCAAGACTCTCCACCTGCTCAAGAACATGTGAAATGAACTCCCCCTTCCTAGGACAAAAAGTTTTCCCTGTGGTAAGCCTTTGCAATTTGGGGCTTCTTTGTTACAGAAACTACTATTACTTGCCCTTTCTAAGTCTGCTCATTTAAATCTTCTGACTATTGTCTTGACAGAGTTCTCTGCAGACTATAGTCATGCCTCCCACTTCCTTACCATTTAGCAGGTGGGACCAGTCAAAGGGGGTTACCCACAGAAGTTACCAGGTCAGGAGGTATTGTGGGAAAGATTTGCTTCACTAGGTTCCCACCCTTTAATAATTACAACCTATGTGCTGGTCTAGTCAGCAGAAAAAACCAACTCAACCCTGAATCCGGCTCAAACATCCTGGAACTTACCCCAAGGTTTTGGAAACAACGGGTCGATCACGCTTCTTCTCAAAACTCCCTGAGAAGAAGTGAAACAGAAAGAGGGCTGAACAGTCATGTTGGAGCCACCAACATGAAGCAATGATAAGAAGATTCAACAACAGGGGCAGGGTGAGACAATGATGGTAACATAAGCATGTGTAGAGTCACTGTGGGCATGAACACATTACCACATGAATTTCTTGCAGTAACTTAATGAGGCTGGTACTACACTATCTTATTTTTTAAATGGTTGAGAAAAGTGTGAAAGAAGTTACCCACACAAGTTCCACAGAGCCAGGAACAGTGCAGGAATTTACTCAGGTCTGCTAGGTTCTAGAACATTTCACCACTCTGCTAAGTTTTGAGGTGTCACTCAGGATCTTCCACTGGGGATTATCTGTGATGATCCAGGACCTCTCCAGAACAGACCCAGTGTAGGAGGAAGGGAGATTTCCAGGCATATCTCTCTTCATATCTACTCATGACAGATACAACCAACACTCCATCCTTCCATGGAAGGCCCATCAAATAGCAGCAAGCTGGAATGAAGCAGGACAGGTCACTGCAGATGAGCTACAGTGGGGCCAGCATCTCCCGGGGAATCTACTATGCTGTCCCACTTGGCACTGCCAGTCCTGGCTGAGAATTTGCCACATCAGGTGCTGCTAACCCTGAATGGGCAGGAAGCAGTTAAATAGCAAACTCAGGAACACAGCTGGGGTCAGCTGGTTTTATCCAGTTGCTATAGCTGGGGAGAAACAATTCATAATGGGACCAGGAAATAACTATGCAGTAGTGGGTTGATGTGTTTTTTGTTGTTGTTGTTGTTGTTGTTGTTGTTGGTTTGTTTCTTGAGACATGACATGGAGGAAGAGAAAGAGAGGATATTTTTGAGATGGTGAGCACCCTGGAAGTTGTTCTAATTTTGTTGCAAGCAATGAATTTTTATAAAAGCCTACCCAAGGCATGCAGGAAAAGGTGTAAGTCATTTTGTGATACGAGCAAGTAGTCACAATGGGTAATTTTCAAGGTGTTAATTGAAAAGGGTAAACTTCTTTAAATTCTCGCACAGATCACATTTATATGACTGCACAGGAATGCAGGAGTGGAGGAGGAAGACCATGGCTGAGTACATCCCTCAGCCACACCTGTTTTGAGGTTTCACCAGAACTTCCTGCAAAGGGATCAACATAAAGCACCTGCATCACATATGACTGGAGAGGACTACACATGCATTTCTGTTTAACATAACTACTCAATGAGCTTGATCTAGTTTTTGTTCCATAACGTGATTTGGTTCTTGTCATTCCATTCTCAGTTCAAGGTTAAAAGAATTTCTAAACTGATAAAAAGAGACTTGTTCTGAAGGATCTAGACGTTAAATATAGTAAAAAAAAAAAAAAGCTGGCCCTCACACACTGCTAGAGAAAGGTAAACCATTCAGTCCTTCTGGAAAGTTTTTGAGCAAGTAAAAATCAAACTTTAAAGATGCTCTGCTCTGAGCTGGGAGCTATGGCACACACCCACATGTAATCCCAGCGGCTTGGGAGGCTGAGGCGGGAGTATTGTGTGTTCAAAGCCAGCCTCAGCAACTTAGTGAGGCCCAAGGTAACTCAGTGAAACCTGTCTCAAAAAACAATTTTTTTATTTTTTATTTTTTAAAGGGCTATGGATGTGGCTCAGTGGTTAAGTGCTCCTGGGTTCAATTCTTGGTACCAAAACAACAACAACAACAAAATACCCAACAATAACAAACAACAAAACAAAATGAAAAAACTCTCGGCTCTTGGACCAGAACCTCCCTTTTTGGGACTCCAAAGGAGAAAATGCTAAAAATAGAAAATGAAGTTTACAGAGATGTGCATTTTGGTCTTATTTGTACTAGATGTCACACAGTACAAAGAAAATGTACTTACATTTTGTTCTTCCATTAAATTTTTTAAGAATAAATGAAACATACAGAAATATGTAAAAATAGTATCTCATTTGCTCCTGGTGGACTACAAACAGGCTATGATCGTCACCACTCCTCTGAGCTCCAACCTGACTACCATCTTGTCAAACCCAATGGTTAATCCTCTATTCCCATGTCACTTGGATGATTGTACCATTTGGCATGTAGGCCACTCCCTTCAGGCACTTTCTCTTCTAGATTCTCATCTTTCCAGGTTTCTCATCCCCCCCCTCCACTCTTCTCCTCAGCCTCTGCTGCTGGGGTCCCCTAGGGCTGGCCCTGGGCACTTCCTCAGCTCTTGCTACTCTCTCCTAGGGAATTTTAGCCCCATAGCTTTAAATATCACCTACAAGCTGATGAGCCCTCAAGCCATATCCCCACCAGAACTTCTTATTCACTCATCAGGGTATCCAGAACATTCCCCAGCACATTGTAGGTATTCAAATCTTTGTAAAAAAAAATTTATGAACAAAGAGTGACATAAAAATTATATATTCAAGATGATCATCATTGGGTAAAAATATAACACCTAAACACAAGAAAATAATCGATAGAAAAGATATCAAAATGATAGTTATTGTGATTGTTTTGGACTCTCAGTAATTTAATTCAGATGTGTTTTCTAAAATCCAAAAGTATCATGGTAAATAAACAAACAAAACATGAACTAGTCACAAGGGGAAAAAAACGGAGGGTAAGAGACAGAGAAAGTAAAATCTGGCACCTAAATGAGGGTAGACAGGGCTTCCAACACATGCTCCATACAGTCACATTACCCACACAGTCCCTACTAACACTCTCATTGCACCTATCAATACTACTGTGCCACTCATATCATCTTGGAGTAAAAAGGATATAGGATAAAAATCAGACTGATCAACTGATGAAAGGATCAACAAAATCCATTTATCCACACAAGCCATAAAAAGGAATGAAGTACCGATACATGCTATGACATGAATGAACACTGAAATCAGTATGCCAAGTGAAGGGACAGACCACAAAGGCCACATATTGTAGGATTCCATTCATATGAAATGTTTAGAAGAAGCAAATCCATAGAGAAAGAAGGTATCAGTAGTTGCCAGAGCCTTGGGGAGGAGAGAAAACTCAATGCGTATGGGATTTCCATTTGAGGTAATAAAAAACGTTCTGGAACTAGACAGTGGTAATAGTTGCACAACATTGTGACTGAACTTAATGGCACATCTTAAAATGGTTAAAAGGGTATTTTTTTTTAACATGTATTTTACCACAGGTTAAAAAAAATGAGACTGAGCATTTTGGAAACTCATAAGCCAAAGAACAAAATTCTTTAAAAAAGAAAAGAAAAAAGGTGGCATTTCTCCATAGACTTGCAAAAGAATGCTATTTAGAGGTGCTTCTGTGTCTGAGTAAGAGCAATTTATGGCATAACTCAAGGGCAACACATAAAGCAGCCAGCTAAAAGTGGAACTGAGGAACACTTATTTTAATGTGAGTTAACACCAGAGAGTTAAGATCAAAACAAAGAGAATTTGGGCTAGAGTAACTAACAGGGTCTATTAATAGGAAAAATTTAAGTTGCAAATTGTCAGATAAGGCAAAATTAATTTTGCAAAAGAATGAAAATCTGGCAGAACAGGAAGGCCAGTTTGAAAAATAAGCGGAAAGGGGATTAAAGTAGAAAGTCAAAAATAGAAGGGTGAGTTAGGAGGACTGAAGACAGGGTCAAGTTGGCAAGGAAAAGACCAAGACACTGAAGGTATTTTAACAATTTGGCTTGGATTTTTCAAGGATGAGTAAAAGAGAAAGCCTATCAGGTTTTAGGTGTGAAAAGTTCAACAGAGGAGGGATAAAATTAAACCTGGCTCTTTCCATCAAAGGATATAGAAAGATGGAATGCAAACAGAACATACTGCTCAAAAGATGACTAATGTGGTCAAGACTGAGGAGGAGAAATTCTTCTTAAAAGGTGCAGTGACATAATTTATCATTCAGGCAGGCACTCTCTCAATGTACACAACTAATGCTTATGCCAGGCCAACAGGAGTGGACCCTGAGTGTTCCAGAAATCTAGAAAGCAGTCGCCTTGTGAGCCAACTTCATGTTTCTTAAGGCCTGCTCAGAAGAGTACTCCAACTCTATCAGAATAAATGTCCACTTCTTATAACATTTAGTAGTGTCCCTGTGCATCCAGAACTATCCATACATATGATTTCAAAAAGAAAATAAATGTGGAACCTTAATAAAAATATGGAGACACAGAAGGAAAGCAAATTATCATCCCCTGAAGTTCAACATGTAACTCTTCACATATGACTATTTCAATATGTATATGCTCAGACACACGAAAAGACCAGGAAATGCTCAAAGTTTGCATCAGCTCATAGTGCGTGTTTGGATTTAAAGGTGAATGATCAAAAACCATGCTGTACAAGTAGTTGAGGAAAATGAAAGCATACAGGTGGAAAATAGAATAAAAATTGTGCTAGGGTAAACAACAGAGCAGATGTTATATAAAAAAGAAAGAAGAAAATAACCTTAAAAGGAGATAATGTAGGCAAGAGTCTTACAATCCTACCATACCTTAAAACACACATTCCATGAACCCTTTGAACAAAGGAGAAGTAATAACAAGAGGTCATAGAGGAGCAATGTTAGGATAAAACCACAAAATAACCAGCTTTAACATGCATTCCGTTTATAACAGAGATTCAGCACCTTACATCAAAGTTTTTAAGATATGTAAGGTAACAGTAAAATTCCATGAGCCAGGCATGGTGGCGCATGCCTATAATCCCAGAGGCTCTGGGGACCGAGGCAGGAGAAACGTGAGTTCCAAGCCAGACTCAGCAACTTAGAGAGACCCTAAGAAACTCAGTGAGACCCTGTCTCTAAAAATGAAAAAAATAAATAAAAATACAAAAAGGGCTGGGGATGTGGTGTAGTGGTTGAGCCCCCTGGGTTCAATCCCTGTACCAAAAAAAAAAAAAAAAAAAAAATTCAATGAGACACCTACATTTCATGTGTCTCCACCAATTTTATGCTCTTTAGTTCTAAACCTATTGAGTTTCACGTCTCCTCTTATCCATATTTTGAATGCAATAGTACAGGACAACAGCATAGTAACTGTGTTCTACATATATATAAGTATATAAACCAATTTTGTATATATATAATTTAGTAGAAAATGTGCACAGAGTAAATTTTTCAGTAATTCTGAACTATAACTTTATTCCTTTTAAGTTCCCTCTACGTAATGAACCTTTCTTAAATCATATGGCATGTTTTTGCAACCTCCTGAAAACCTTTTTTGGTGTTATTTAGGACTAAGGAACCACTGACTTACATGTTTGGGTCTGGTAGGACTGTAAGGAACAGGGGAGAGATCCTGCTGTGAGCACATCCTGCACCCTGTGCTTGCCCAGCAGCTCCCCAACCCTGGGGAAGTGCTTCTCCTAAGTGCCCCCCTAGAGGGTGGTACTGACTCCACTTAGAGCCAGTGGCTTAAGAAAACCTCTGGAGAAATGCCTGGATCAGAGCTCCTGGTTGAACATTAAACTTGATATTCAAGAAAAAAAAAGTGAGTGAAAAAAAAAAGTTGAAACTAAAGGTCACTGCAAGTGCTCCATGTGTGTGGATATTATTTTTGCAGAGTTTCTGACTCCCCTTTCTTCTTGGAATCACTGTGCCTTTCTCTTGAGGCTCAGATTTTACTCTACCTTCCATTGTAAGTACCAGTCTTCCTGTAGGAGCTCTGGCTAGGAACTGAATCAGTATTTCAGTATCGATGAGGTCCTCAAGAAAGCCACACAGGCAGTCCACAAATACTTACTGAGCTCCTACTATGGGACAGACCCTCTATGAGTCAGGCCCTGTGTTAGGTTTCAGCAGTGTGCATTCAGTAACTGATTAAAAAAACAAAAAGACATACATGTTTGCCTCTGTGGAGTTTACAGTATAGTGGGGAAGAAAAACATTGAATAATACTTATGTATAATTTAGACACAAATAAGCTTAAGCATAAAGAATGGTGAGAACTGAGTGCTTTGGGAAAGATCCCAAGCTAGCCACCTATGGTAATGAGGGACAGTTTCCCCAAAGCAGTGCTTTTTAATCCAGAGGATGAGCAGGATTTCTCAGTGGAGAGAGGTGAGGAGCAGCCTGGGCCATGGCTCCAGCTGAGAGAGACCTTGGCATCTTGGCATCTTGTGACAGCTGGAAGGTCTGTGTGGCTGGAAATGAGTAGGCAAGGAGGGTGCTGGAGAGGTCAAGAGCCAGCTCACACCTGCAGGGTCTCGTTGAGGAGTATGGGTTTAATTCAAAGGTAATAGTAAATCACTGGAGGATCCACAGTGAGGGAAGTAATAAAATCTGGTGTGAACTTTTAGAAAGATATTTTAAATAGCATTATGGACATTAGAGCAAGGTATGGACAGAAGCAGGGAGACCAGTGGGAGCATTTGTAACAGATAAACAATGATATTGGCAGCTAGGACCTGGATGGTGGCAGTGGGGATGGAAAGACATTAACAAATAACTGTTCTGCTCCAGACCTATGGAACCAGCATCTTGGTGTTAATGAGATTGCCCAGGTGATGCATGCATTCGTATATTTGTACTGAAAAATCTTGCAACATTGGTAAGATCCACCCGTAGTCCAGATTTCTTCTGCACCTGCCAACTTGACTTTTCCTGGGCTCCTGAGCACATGTCCTTAAAGTTAAACCTGACATGACTCTCCCTCAAATGCAAAGAACCTTCTTACCACCAGGTATGGGGGACATCCAGAACTTGGGCACCTATTCTCACTCTACCCTATACTCCAGGTCACTCTGTGGACTTGATGGACGAGGACTACCCACCACCTTGTTCATTCATGTGGATTTCTCATCTTATTTTCTATTTAAGCCTTGTTTATCCCCAGATGGGACCTTCCAGAACCATGATGAGCAAAACAGTAGCCACTGGCCACATGGTTACTGAGCACTTGAAATATAGCTAGTCTGAATCTAGATGTGCTATACGGGTAAGACACACCCCAGATGCTGAAGAATGTAAAGTATCTCATTAAGAATTTCCACATTGATTAAACATTGAAATAATATTTTGGATATGTTGAGTTAAATAAAATATGCTATTAAAATTATTTCAAGTGATTTTAAAAATATGGCTACTAGTAAGTTTAAGATGACACATGTGGCTCACATTATATCTCAATTGGACAGTACCATATTAGAGAACAGACCTGGGTCCCCTCCACTAGTGGGGAAGCTCCCTGAGGGCAAGCACATGTCTCATCCTTGTTCTTCACCGAGCCTCAGGGCTCAAGCTCTGTGGAGGTGGGCAGGTGTCAGTGTTGGCTTCCATGAGCCTTTCCAGGGCTCAGACCATGGCTCCTTTCCACAGAAGAAGGCCCTGAATCACTGCATGGTCCTGTTTTCAAGGCACTTATCCTCATGTGTGATATGTATGTTTCTTGGTTCTGATTGCCAAATTGGAAGTCAAGTTAGGAAGCTTTCTCTCTTACAGGTTTCCCTCTGTAAGTAGCTCTAAGATGTTGAGCTCAACCTAAATTCTTTCAAGGCTTCCTCTCACTGGCTGCTATTTGCCAGTAGCTGGGCTGATCCTTACACCACCCTCTGGGGCAGCCATCAGCTCCAACTTACAGAAGAAGAAATAAGGCTTAGAAAGGTTAATTTCACTATATTCAGAAGTCAGTAGAGCTAAATTCCAATCCAAGACTATTAGACTTTCTTCCCATTGTACAACACTGCCTCCTAAACCTGACTCATGAAGGGTAAAAAGGCTCCACATATTAACTACCCTTTTAATTCCAGGAACTCTGCTCTTCCTGGGTAAGAACATCATTAGGAAGCACAATACATGACATTGGTGGGGCCACCAACCACACATCAGTTGACATCGGCCTGATGCTAAAGCAGAATGTACACAGGCAAACTCAATCTGAAAGGGGTTGCAGCCTCTAGCCCGTTCTCCACCTCTGTGGGTTAGAAGGCATAAAGCATCTTAATGGGCCCAAGTCTCTCCAATTAAAACCAAGAGGCAGGGTCAAGAGACTAAGCCTTCTCTCATTCCTCAATCCTGCCCCACTGCCTTTCCCCAGCCATGACCTGCTAAAAATGTTCTCACTTGGTTAAGACATCAGATCTAACTTCCTGAACAATGGCAATTGAAAAAACAGGTCTTCAAGTTTTCTAGGTGTCATATACCTCCCCTGCCTTCTTAAAACGCCCCCATCTTCCCTTAATCGAATCATAGAAAATAAGGTCTGTTCCAGGCGGTAGAGACAATGAAGTTCACAGCCTTTATTCTGCAGAAACCAAGGTCCAGAGGTTCAGAGTCACACATTGGCAAAAGTTGAGATAAGGGCTTTGGACCTTGCCTCATAGCTCAGTTTCTATTTCCCCAGCTCGAAACAGGAGATCAGAAAAGGGGGACAGAGTAATTTTTGTTTGTGAGCCTCAACTCAAAGTTTGGGCATTGTAAAGTGAATAACATAGGGGACAGCACCACCAGAATGGGAACAATGAGGTCCATCCCAAGACTTTGACCAGAGGCCCCTTTTCCACCTGGAGTGTCCCAGCCATAGGTACTTTGAAGGTCATTAAAATGAGTGAGTCACTTGGTTAAAGAATTTAAGGAAAGCATCCAAACTATGCATACTCTGCTCTGTGAAACAGCCTGTCTGCCCTTCCATGCTGTGGGGAAACACAGGGAAAGTAGGACACAGAGTGCCACTGGCCCAGGTGCATCTCACTCCTTTCTGGAACCTTCCATGGTTACCTTATCCCTTCATCCACAACCCTCACTCATAGATCCTGAAAACCTGGTTGGGAAAACAGTCTTCAGGAGGGTAAAAAAATGAGTTTGATCCTCTGGCTTATAAGTGCTTAGAAAGGCCTAGAAGGGTTGGGGGAAGCCTATCTTACTTTGGAGGGGCTGGCAGACCCCCATGTCTTTTCAGAATTAGGCTCTTGAGCATCAATCAGACAGTGGCCTGACTTGCACATGTTCTGCCTAGTGGAGTGGCTTCAGCATGCTTCTGGTACACCATGGCAAAAACAACAACAACAACAACAAAACAGTTTCACTTATGGTCAAATGCTTCTTATAAAAGTTTTAAAGTTAATAGGATTTTTTAAGTACAGAGGGAAAAAATACAATATAACTAACCAGTGTTAGCACACCGTGAGTTTATATCCTGTATATCTTTTGGAGTTACACAATATTTTTATACCGGGTGTGTGTTACTTCATGATGATGTTAATGAAGACACATGGTGTTCACCCATTCTCCCAAATATTCAGTGTAGACCTATGCAGGGAAGGTTTCAGATGCTGGCAGTGGGAAGGGTGAAGCTCCTCTGTCTCCCTGAGCTTCCATGCAGTGGGGGTGGAGGAGACAGATATAAGACAGTGATAAGCCCTAGAGGTGATGGGAGGATGGACAGTCATGGGTTGAGCTGCTCAGAAAGCGTTTGTCTAAGGAGGAGGCTTTTGAGTGGAAATCTGAAGCATGTGAGGATGAGTCAGGTGTGGGGCTGAGGGAAGAGCTTGTCTTTAGGCAAGGAACACAGAGTGAAGTCCCCAAGGTCTCACTTAAGGGAAAGCAAGAAGGCGGGGCATGACCCCCATGGGAGAGCAGGTGAGGAGGGTAGAAGGTAGGTCTGGGGCAGATCAGCAGGGCTTTGAAGGCCTCTGTAAGGGGTCCAGTGTCAATGTCAGTGTGAGGAGAAGCCACAGAGGCTTGAGCAGGAAAGCAAGCGATTCCTAGTTTGCCAGTCCAGGGGTGCCTCCCTTTTTCTTGGGGACCACATGCCTCCCATTAAGATGGATGTCCCGAGTCAGGGGATGGGGTGTGCTTTCTTTTATAAGTCAGTCCCTCTACATCCTAGGAGAGGGCAGAGGCGGGAGCTGCAGGCCCTGGGGAACTGAAAGCTCAGCTCCCAGCAGGGCTCTGCCTTCCGAGACTCACCTTCCACTGTCAACTCCACTGTCACCTGGCGGGTGCCACTACCATTGCGGGCTTCACAGGTGTACTTTCCCTGGTCCTCCTCATGGACAGCATGAATCTCAAGGCTGAAAGTCCCTCGGACACCACAGTTTAGAAGGAAGCGGCCCCCGTTGGTGATGGGTTGCCCATTTCTGTGCCATGTCACCTGGGGTTCTGGGTAACCCCGGACCTTCAAGAAAAAGAAGAAAGGGAGAGAGATTATATCTCATGAATATTCCCTCTGTGCCAGTTCCCTGAGTGCCTGACACACGGTAACTCATTTAAGCCTCACAACAACCCTCCAAAGAGATAACTACTTTTATCCCCAATTTATAGAAGAGGGAAATTGAAGTACAGAGTTTGGGTCATTTTCTTTCCTTTTTTTTTTTTTTTTTTGAGGGGGGTGGTGCTGGGGATTGAAACTTGTGTATGTGAGGCAAGCACTCTACCAACTGAGCTATGTCCTCAGTTGGGGTAATTTTCTAAGGTCTCAAAGATAGAAAGTGGCAAGGTCAGGCATTCTGGCTCCAGAGCCACAATACACATGATTCTCAAGTCTGAAAGCAAATTGGGATGTTGCGGGGCAGGGGGGGGCGGGGGGGTGGACTTTCAAAGAATGCCAGTGCCCACACCCCAGCTTGGACCCATTAAATCAGAATCCTGCAGGGATGGGGGGCTGGTGCAGAGTGAGTGTGAGGATTCTAAATCAGTGCTTCTCACTCTAACACAGGAAGAATCTCTGAGGATCCTGATGAAATGCACGTTCCACCTGCACAGGTCTGGCTGGAGGTTCTGCAGCTTGGGACAAACTCTCAACACTGCCGATGCTGCTGGTCCCTGGAACTGGCCTGGTGGAGGGAGATCTATAGCCATTTGCCACACACAGCAATGGAGCACTTGCAGTGTGGCTGGGGAGACTGAGCTGCCCTGTCGGCATACACTACACACTGGCTTTTAAAGATAGTATAAAAGGACATACAAGATCTCAGTAATTTAGGGCTGGGGTTGTGGCTCAGTGGCAGAGTGCTTGCCTCACATGTGTGAGGCACTGGGTTCGATCCTTAGCACTGCATACAAAAATACACACCTCTAATAAAGGCATGCTGTCCATCTACAACTTCAAAAAATTTTCAAAAAATCGATAATTTAGAAATGCTGATTACATGTTGAAAACATAGTGCTTTTTATATATTGCTTTAAATAAATGGTTAATTTCACCTGTTTCTACTGTTTTCCTACTGGAACAGTGGCAATTCCACGCATGCCTCGCTTGGTATCCTGGGACAGTGCTGCACTGAACTGTTGCCTTTCTCCAACAATAGTTTGTAGCAGATATCGACTGAGCACGAAGTGTTCGGCACTTTCTGAAGTACTTGGCTCATTGAGCCTCAGAGCAAGTCATTCAAAGAGAGGACAACTCTCAGAAGAAGGGGAAATGCAGAAATAAATTCCAAAAAGAGAATTCCCTTTGAGTTTCAAAGAAAGTAAGTTCCCCAGAGGCCTCAAACACCTGAAACTCAGCAGGTTCCTCAGGGTGGACTACTCTTTGGAGGAGCAGGGTTCAGTGTGGTGTACAATGCAGTCGAGGACAGAGCATTGGGGACTTGAGCACTGGAAAATGCACAGAAAACACCATAGAAGTCTCCTGAGAATAAAATTGTGCTAAGAAATAGTGGTAGCATAGCTTTGATCCATGTATCCACTCCAAGACAAGAGAGAATGGATGCAGATAAAGGGAAAGCAAAATTCACTGCATGAACCCAAGCTGCATTTACAAAGAAAGTATTCAATGACCTCAGCTGAGTCTCCCCTGTCAGATCAGGGAGTGATATCATACTGGCTCACAGGGGAGCTCAGCACACAGCCTGGGGATCCACACACCCATATATAATCATGTCATTGTGGACTATGTTGATATAGAGGTTCATTTAACAGGACATTAGATAATGACTACCCACATTGAAGCATTGTTCTTTGCATTTTCAGAAAACAACTAAGGCAACCCTCTTCTACAGTAGGAAGCCCCTTGGGAGGCTGGTCAGGTAGAGTGAATTTGCAAATCATCTTTATTTCTCCTGGACCCTGTTAGGCAGGGTTGACCCACCCTCCCAAAGATGAAAACAGGTCTCCTGTCAGCTTCCAAGAAAAAAGGTGCCAAGCTGGCCAAGTGGGAGGAGATAAATCATTAATAGCACCAAAGGTGCCCTAGCATTCCAGCAGCAAGCACGCTGGCCCCCTGCAGGCCAGCTTAGTGGCCCATCAGGCCCCGAGGCATCAATGATTAACTGGCGATATTGCAAGCCTTCAAGACCTCAGGGACATGATCCCTAGGTCCTTTTCTCTTTTCTCCTCATTGTCTACACATACCCCAAGTTACCTCTGAAATGCCCTGTTAAAATAAATACTCTAGGGATTTTTAAATGAGAATATTTAAATATGAGAATTTTAAATAAGAGAATACAGACTCAATGAAACTTTGGTTTTCAGAGGACCTCCCACATAAAGAGTCATTTTTTTCTTTTTTCTGGTATCAAGGATTGAACCCAGAGGGGCTTATCTACTGAGCCACATCCTCAGCCCATCTCCTCTTTTTTTAGTTTGCTAAGTTGCTGAGGCAGGCTTTGAACTTGTGATCCTCCTCCCAAATGCTGGGATTATAGGCACCCGGCTCACATAAAGAATCTTATTTGACTCTCACAACTCTACAAGGGAGGTGTCTTGGGTTGGGCTATCCAGAAAGAAAACCTGAGGGCTTCAGAGACCTTATTTGTGAACCTTGCCAACACCCAGGGCAGTAGGAATAGGCCTGGTTAAGGGAGCCCCGGTGGGACACCAAGAGTGATCATGACAGCACACAAAGGTAATCATGTTGTCGTTCCACAGAGCTGAGAGAAGAGTGGAGGCATGGGTGGTTTGCCAGTGATCTCACGTGACAGATTAAGTGGCACATTTAAGACCATAAGTTTAGTCTAAAAGTTGAGTGGCTGTTTCCAGGGCTCTTTGTATATAAACTTGTGTTTTTGATGAGAAAAGTTCTGTAGAACCAAAGCAGTGTTAAGTGTCTACCCCTAATGGACCCTAAATCTCTTAGAGATTAAAGCATGATTTTCTATCCACTTTAGGAAAACATCAAAGGGTTCACAAAAGAAATGGTCACACCATAAGCAAGACTTAGGCCATTCTCCTGGATTCACAGCAAGACCAGAGCGGGGCCTGGGCATGCCCACGACACCCCTAGGAGACAGTATGAGAGCCAGGGCCTGAGAGCCTGGGCTTAGCCTGGCTTCCTCACCTTTTTGGGTTGTAATTCCTTCCTTTCACTGAAGAGAAAATTGCTCTTGATATCTAAGGTTCCTTCCATCTCTAAAGTATTTGGTTTTAAATGGTGACCCAATCTTGGGGAATTCTTTCCTTTCCCCTCCATTCTCCTCTGGGCCCAGCCCACAGCCTTGGCACCCTCTAATCATCTAAATGGGAACACCAAGTGACCACAGCGGGAATGCTCACCAACATGAATAGGCAGCTTTGAGTTTTAACCAGGATGACTTTTTGGAAATGGACCCAAAAAGGGTCATTATGGGGAGAATCATATTTTTGCCACAGCAACCACATTTAACTGGAGGTTGTGTTCTTGAACAGAAGCCCGGTCTCAAATCAATCAAGGGCATAACCAACAACTTGTCAGAAAAATAAAGATTTAGTAACCATGATCCCTATAATAATTTTAAATAGTAAAACTGTGCTCCAGCTCCATAAAATGTCCTCAAAAACCTTTATGGCCTCAAAGGGCCTTTAAAAGGAGTGGGGCACATTCTGTGTGTGAGGATGGTTAGGAGAAATCTGGGGGGCTCTGTTACTCTATTACCCTCTCATTTGAGAGACATTTTTGAGAACCTGGTGTTGTCTTGAGATTTACTCAGTTACTAAAAGGGAATCATCCTCAAGGGCACCAAGCCTTTTGGCTTTTTTTCTAACATGTCAGGGTCTTTTGACCCATTCCTTATCACCCTAAATGGTCTGCCACAGCCTAAACCCAGAGTAATAGCAGGGTCTTTGTCCCTAAAGCCCATCCAGGACTCCAAGCCACACTCATCTGCCTTTTCCAAGCTTTGTGAGTAGCAGAAAGGTGGTGATCCTACTGCCTTTGGGGACCCACTTTGTGTGTGTTCTGTCCCTGGAGGGGCCTGCCCTGAGCACACACTGCAAGCCCACACAGCTGCCCAGCACAGCTGCAGTGGACCAACTATCAGCCAGGGCTGGGCAGGAAGAAGGAACTGAGGTTCTGCCCACATCAGGGATGGAGGGAGACCAAAAGGGAACAACCAGGACTGATGGAAGGCCAGAGAGAAAGAAATAGCCCAGGAGAGCTCTGGGGATGGGGAAGAGGCACAAAGAAGACTGAGCAGTAAGGAATCTTCAGGGCCTGAAGGGGGTATTGCTAAGTATTTATTTGATTGTTGAGTCACTGAATGGATGCTGGGAGAGGCTGACCCTGGAGGAGGGGACATGCAGGAAGCCTGAGAGATGGGCCATCTCCCCACGCTGACAAAGCCAGCTCAGCAATACTGTGTTGCCCACACACCCACCCACCCACTCCGCACACTACACCAAAGTTCTCGCTCTGTTCCAAGGCAGGTTCTTTATAATACATCAATAGCCCAAGATAAATGATTAGAACAGGACCGGTGATATAAGAACCGAAGAACAGGAAGTAAACCAGTGGTGCTGAGGAAGTGGTTGAAGGAGCATCAATCCTCTGCCCATCTGAGTATAAGCTCAATCAGGTGATAAATGGTCATGGCTGCACAGAAAAAAGAATGAAAATATCAACCCCCCAAAACAAATTAGACCACAGAAACTGTCTGTGCGTCTTCTTACCTCGTGGGCATATTAGAAGGATGAAGAGTGAAGGGCAAGCCATGGGCAGGGCATGACCAAGCTTCGGAGCCTGTGTCTGTGTCAGCAACTGGCACTCGGCCTCACGGGCAGGCACTTAATTAAGGCTTAGAATAATCCCCTTGCCAAGAGTCAAAAGCCTCAACCGAACCCACAGAATCCATCAGGCAGAGATCATACCCGCTGAAAACAGCAATTAGTGAGAGGCTTAAACTGCTGGCTACTCCCCGCCCCCAGCCCCACTTGACAAACAGTGAGGACAAAAGTGCTTCCAATAAAGACGAAATCAGAATG